CCGACGCCGGTAGCCCAATTGTACCCGCCGTCCCAGAGCTGCCTGTCAAAAGCACCTGGACTATGGTAGCAAAAAATGGACTGTGACAAAAAGCTGAACGTTCAGTATAGGCTGTGCTGCGACCTGCGCCCAAAGCCGCAAAGACGCTCAGGAGGCGAAATTTAATAAACGAATTTTCATCCGCCCAGGTCGCGACCACCCGTGGCGCAAGCTTTCACCTGCAAGCGCATGGTTAGCAGTCTAGGATAAGATGGGATGCATTATGGGTGTCTTTAGCCTCTTCCACCGAGTCAGAAACGACTTTGTGATTTTGGCAAAGGAATAAGACAATAGCCCCTAGATGCGGTTCCGAAACAGACGAATATCAATGCCAAATTCGAAGAAGCTTTCGACCTTGTCGCCTTTCGCTTCACAAATGTTTCCGCGACCCTTTAGAACTCGACGGTACAATAACGGTCGATGCTGAGTGGATCTCAAACAAGATCTAATTCAAAACGCACATAACGCCAATCCAGATGCGACCACATGGGATGCATCGTCCTGGTGCGCTGTATAGAAACTGGGTTACCTCTTTCCTCGGGAATCTGCCCCTCGTCCTGACTTTCGAATATTCAACGAGTCTGGAATGGCTGTAGAGCACCAGTGTCGTCGAAAAATTCAGCATTTTTATCGCTGCCCGGCTTCTACGCCATTCGTGGTTGCTCCAGCGCTCCGCCTTGCCTGAATTGCAGCTCAACGATGCACTTTGACGAAGAGTGCAAGACCTCCGCTAGACGTCGAAACTGCGAGAGAATTCACAGGTCGGATTCTTGAGACTTGTTAGAAAGGAGGTATAATCTTATTAGTAACAATGATCTTGATTATGTAAGGGTTCCCAACACAATCCCTATATCCACTATTCACACTCTACTTCAGTGTCCCCAGTAAGATTTTTATAAGTACGTACTAGCGTGGCCCCACTTCTATGACGAGAAAACACAGCGTAAATCGCCGCTTTTTCCTCTGGTTGATTTACTAAACAGCATTTCACTACTTTTGACTTTCTGGATTAATCACTATTTTATATAACTAAATAATTAATTCGCTCTTCTTCGCCTTGCCTTAAGTAATCCTCTTTCACCTTCGACAGGACTGCCTAGCTGGACCCAACAATTTCGGTCGGTTGAAGAAAGAGCAGCTATAATGAACTTGCCAAGTCGAGCACGAGAGGTTTTCAGAAGCACCCCCGGCAAAAACTGCAGTCAAGAGGTCAGACGAGGCGATAATCGCCTCAAACAAGGATGTCTCGATGGCGGAGGGTTCGGGGTTCGGATTTCTGGAGTCCGAAGAAAAAGTTTGAGAACCCAGCGACCTTGGTAACGCCTCTTACCGTCGTTTTACTAATCAACATCAGGATACCAGCTAAATTAATAGTACCTGCTTGTTCTCTTTCGCTTTCAGCAGAGACTGGAAAGGTTGTCATTTAGAAGGTATGACGGGCGAAGGAATGTACGAGGAGTGCATTGCTTGGGCTCAAGGTGGGGGACTCGTCCAGTTTTATTTTGGGTGTATTTATCATTCTGTAATAATCTACAGCAATTTTGGTAGCGATTCACGCGGTTGGAATGATTGGGGTGTGGAAAAGAACACAGGGATCCCTGCCAGTTCCACCAGTCCTGTACCCATAGTAGGACGTAAAACTTTTACTCTATCTCTGGACTTTATAAACTCAACAACAACAACACCGGCTGGTGTGGGAGGACGAAGGCTGAACACTTTTCAATGGTTTCCTCTACGAAATTGGGAGTGAAATATTCTTCCAGAGCCGAGATTTAGTCACGACAAAGTTTGTACTCGAGAGTTTTCGTTGAGATCTCGATGGGGATGAGTGGTGCTGGCAAGTTTTTGGTCGAAAATCCCACCTGCAGAGATTTCACGACCGCACAACACAACGAATACAATTTCATACACCCTAGATATCAACCACAGACAAGATAAAACATGTCTGATGTTATATTAAAACAACTGACTACATGTTGGAAATATCGGGTAATGAAATGAGCGCAATATTCATGGAACGAAAGTAGAAGTCGACTTAAAGAGTGTCATGTTCGGATTACGGCTAAAACTGTGTGAAATGTGCGCTACAAGTAAAAGTGTAAGCGACACGTAGCCTAAGCCATAGTGTGTGCTATTATAGCGCCATCTAGGCATAGATAACCTCTATCAAACTCCTTGTGACCATGCCAAACAGTCGCTCAAGTATCCATTAACTAGCTTGAAGCGCTACTCTATCACTCATTCCAACCTCTTAAATACACACTAGATCGTGTTGGGAACCCAGAAGAAATGGAGGGCCCGTATGTACACAATACTCTTTATCTCCATTTCCAGTCCAACACTCACTTTCTCGAAATTTCCTGGAAGATCTTTCCCAGCTAGTTCATCTCACCACTGACCGAAGCACTTCAGGATCCAAAATTCATACTCGCAATCTAAAATACAAGTGGTCATTTATCCCGGCGCAACTGTCGTACGCTGTGAAGGTACGTTCGAAGTACCGACCTTATATTCGTCAAGCCTCGGCCAAGGGCACCAACAACTCGACCTTCGACGAAATACTCACGACATTTCGCCGGCATATCAAATAGAACAATCGCTAAAGGCCGAGGTATCGGTGCCACGGTTTTGACCTCTTCGACCCATATTCGACCCCCGTTATTAGGGGTATTGCAGCGATGAAGCAAGGTCGGAGGGATTGGGAGTTTACAAAGTTTCTACGATGGCAATATTGACAGAAGATTGAATGAAAACTACAATAGAGAAAATTAAGGTAAGAGACACTGAGGATGCCTCTGTGTGCGGCTGGATGAGGCATCTAACAAAGAATACACTCCTGAATAAGATTAGAAGATGCTGGGATGAGGCATGGCTAGTACTGATCAGGAGTAACGAATAAGGGATTGGCAGGGTGTCAAGGGCTCGGGCGTATGGTGTCCAAGTCTGATGAGACAGTGTTTCGGCGCGTGAAAATCGGGTTCTCTGGACCGTTGGGCTTAACATGTTCAGCACATGGGTGAAGTCTGGGGTGGTGCAGTCATTCATACGGGACGAGGTTTATTGCACTTATAGGGTAGTCAACCCGGCCCCGCTCGTTCTCAAGCCAAAAAAGAAGTGCGTAAGGTGCTAATTGCCTAGCACTTTAACAAACCAAACCAAAACCTCGCTGATATGTAGTAAGTAGTATAATATAACGAGGGCTCTTTAACTACCGTTTTTATTAAGGAAATAATGATCCCTCATTCATTGAGGTTATAGAGCGTATTGATTCAAGTAACTACCGAAGTGAAACTAAGTACAGAATTTGTAGTCACGTGTGTATCGACAACGTGGCCTACTTGATAGCCCCAATTATTCTAAATTCTAACAGTTTTAGTGTTTTTTGCCCCAAAAAATCTTTTCTTTACCAGCATTAAGACCGCTGTAGGTGCCTTGGAAGCGTATCTTTGAGGGAGAGTTTGATAACTAAGCTCAAAATTGGAAAGCCACGACTCACTCTAGGCCCCGCAGACTTAAAGGTGATAGCTGAAAGTTCATAGGGGACACCGCTGAAAGATGGGGATTCTTTGTCTCCTTTCCTCTTACGATCTAACTCTCCTTATCAGGAACTCAACTTATCTGGCCCAAAACTCCCGTGCACGCGGTATGGCTTTAAGCCAAACATCGTTCCACGATCGTAGGACAAACATGATCAACTATACACGGGATTCTCGCGAGGCCTCTACGCAAATAGGATCGCAAGTTCATATTTAAAGGCCTCAGCCGACGATAACTGGCTATAAATGCCTTGCGGGCCTAGCCAGGTTCACAAGACATGCCGCTTGTCCCGTACCAGGTCGATGCTATCCCCTGTCGAACAGACGGCCTGTAGATTTATCGCCTAGATTTTGACAATAAGAGTAGAAGATTTCAACAAACAGATCAAATTCGTTCACCCGGTAATCCACAGTTTGGCTAGATATGATATAATATTATGGCGACAATTTAAAAGCTAGTGAGTACTAACCAAGGACCGGGTCCAATGTCACTAGGGTAACATAGGTTGCAAAGCCAGTGATACATGGTACAAGAGACCCTGACACAATAGTCACTCCATAATATTACAAATCATTCTACAATCTTGGAGCTATCATATTTCAGAGACAAGAATCTGTTATAACTGGTGACCTAAAAGCTGGGAGAAAATGTAGGAACTGCGGGATAAATTTGACCGACGAGCAAAGAACCTAGGGACAGGCTAAAAAATGCTAGAGCTCTGTTAAAGTTAAATCTTATAGGAAACACTCACTCTCCGCTCAACATAATCTTCGTAAGCCCTTGCGACTAGTCTTAGGTATCACGGACGACTATATTTATCAAATCATTTTTAAATCATTAGTGTAGACGAACTACCTCACCTTTACGAGTTCAAACTCACTCTCTAAATGCATGCTTTTGTTACCCAACCTGGGGATTGTGTTAGGCAAGTTAAAAGGAGGTAACAAGGATCCACTATATTTTAATGCGTTTGCTTAGCATCAAGTTAATTGATTTGATTGATAGAGTTTATCTTCAAACGGACCCGCATAATTTTAGCGTAGCTCATACTTTAACGAGATACGAAGTCCAAATTTTGCTCGCAGATCAGCTGGTTTACACACCGCTTTGTACTCGTATGCCTCCTCTTGAATCGTTGTGTCACTTTACAACTTTCTGTGCCTACCTACTGTTAGGTTCGGTCTGGTGTGTGCATATTTCGCTGAAATCCCCTTTCAATTTTAATTGGATGTTGCTTTGCTAAAAATAGTGACTGGTCGTAAAAAAATATACGGGAGAGTCCGAGTCGTTGCAACAAAAATATTGAAAAATGTGCGAAGGGAAGGGTCAGAAAGACATTGATTTCATCAAGTTTTTTATCATATAGGTGCACCTCCATGCACGTCATAGTCGTACTCTATCAGATTCGAAAATAAAGTGCCACACTAACCAGCAGATGTAAAGGAGGGAGTTATTGTATCTTTTGGAGATGCTATTTTACCACTCGCCTCTGCTACTTTCTTACTCTTTCTCTCCAAAGCTTGTTTCACCCATTCTGCAACTTCCTCGTCTTCTGTTTCTTTACACCCAGTTTTGGGCTCCGAGGGTGCACAGTTCTGGGATAGCTCACTGAGCCAAGCGTGTTGTAATAACATAGAGTAAGTTGGACGGAGCTTAGGTATTTTATTAAGACATCCGCGGACAAAGTCACGAGCAGCGGAAGAAAAATTCTCTTCAGGTAGATCTGGAGGTTCACCCTCGACAATAGCCTAGTTTCCGTTAACCAAATTAGAGCTTTAGTGAACATGCAACTTAATAAAAGTAGACTTACGCTTAGTTGCAGGAAAATATTGTTGTAGGTCTCGGGTGGATAAGGGTATTTACCCAGTGCACATTCAATGATACTTAATCCCATGCTCCAAATATCAGATTGAACTGAGTAAGTTCCACCTCCACCTCCACCAGCTTGGGCTACTCCACCGCCAGAGATTCGCTCGGGCGCCATGTATGATTGACATCCAATATTGGTCTTAGCAATACTCGCCACTAGGTTTCCACTAACGCCAAAATCACAGATTTTAATCTGGCCAAGTGTGTTAACAAGGATGTTTGTAGGTTTAACATCGCGATGAATTATATTGTGGTCATCTTTTAGCGTTTTTAATCCTTTGACAGTAGAGAATGTTATTTTCTTGAGCACATTTTCTGGAATACCATCGCCGTAAATTTTGTCGATAGATCCACCATCCATATATTCGATACAAATATACACTGCTCCTTCCTGAAAGAAGGCTCCATAAAAATCGATTATGTAAGGAGAGACACAGCGATGCAATATATCAAGTTCCATTATGATAGCAGCGAACTTAGCTTCGTCAAGTTCCAGCCGAATTTCCTTCATAGCCATAATGATGCCAGTGGTGGAACTTCCTCCCTGACTTGAGGATTCTGGGGAAATAACACCCCTCTCGAAGGCATATAAGTTTGAAGTCTGGGAGGGTAGTCTATTACCTGCTAGACCAAGGCCAGGTCGGCGAATTCTAGGACGCGCGTGACGAACTTTGTAGACAGTACCATAATTTCCTTTTCCTAGTTCCTCGATTGTATCAACTTCGTCCAAAGAAATATTAAAATTACTTCCTGATGTGAAATCAATACCCTGGCCATGAATAACTGCTTTCCCAGCAAACCTGAGGGTGCCATTTTTAGTATCTACATATTCAGAGAACTTGTTGAACATTGAAATTGGCTGCTGCGGTTGATTCCGATTCTGATTTGTGATACCGATTGGATTGAAAGGTTGACCTTGAGAATTCTGGTTACCCGGAAGCCCGCCAGATAAGTTAATACCTCTACGGGAACTAAGGCCGCCTTTTAGAGACATTTTTGGGATAGTGGAGTCTGAAACAGCGTTGTGTGGTAATGGCCGTCGATTTACAGGAAAGTGAAGTCCAGCAGGTAAAACTCCTACTGCAGCTCCAAAATTAGAAGAGCCGGATGTAGGCGGTCCCGAAGAGACGGACATTGGAATTTGTGGACGAGACGGCGTTCCTTGTCTAGATAAATGGAACTTTCTCATTTTTTCTTCCATGCTTTCTGGCATTACACCTCCCATACTATTTGGAGAGCGAAAGCTAGAGCCAGCGAAAGAGGGAGCCGGTCTTCGTGCATTATTAACAAGGTCGACATGGGTGGAAGCGGCGGGGACTTTGTGATGTGGCTGCGAATCTTTTTCCTGGAATGAGGAGGACCACGGATCCGCTGAGGATTGACAGCTTGAGCTTTCTGGAGGGGATCCCTCATCGTCGGATGAGTTTGAATATAGATGACTCGTAGAATCTTTGGATTTTTCGGGAGAGTTGGATGCCATCTTTTTCGCGTGACAGTTAATTATTCTGGCTTTTAGGCTGGAGGCATGGGATTCAGAGGCCCAGTACTGAATTTATATTCACCGTGGCGTAGAGGCAAATTTAAGGCTCTAAAGGGTTGAGAACAATTATTAGTTAGGTTGATGGCGGTGGAAGATGCAATTAAAACCCACGCTGACAACCGTAGAAGCTCAAATTTGCAGCGCATAAAACTATGTTCAGGTTTAGAAGATGTGATTAGAACTTCTAAGAGAAAAATAAAGCTAGTGAAAGTATATCTTGCGGTGGATTGATATCAAGATTGGAATGAGGAGCTGTGGTTTTGATTATGGCATTTATGCCAAGATTCAAAATGCTGTGGTACGTTCGACACTACCCGGGGCGGTAAGAGTAGGAGTTGGTCGTTAAGTTTAAAATTGTCTAGGTGCAGACCTCTTAATGACGCAGGTTCAATCACTTCATAATTATTAGTGGTTAACTAAGCTTGCTGCGGGTTCTTACATGATACACTTATTTCGTGATATCGTCTGAATGGTTCTCAGATGTACTTTATTTAATGGACCATCTGCGCCAGTCCCTTGGCAATGCTATGCTGTATAAGGCGTTTGGCCTATCAATATACTACTCTACAACCATCCCTTCAATTATACCGGAGAAAATCTCTCACTAACTTCGGGGTATTTCCCAAAGTGGTTGAAGAAAGATAATTAGAGACCATCACGATAGTCTCGACAAAACTCGAGAACTCTGGATAGTTTTCATTGCTATAGAAAACTAATCACTTATTGCCGTATGTCGAGGTTCCTCCCGGGTCTTTAAATCATAAAGGCAATGGTCCACAGTGAAATGTATCATGAGCACAGGATAAAAAGAGATATACAAGACCTAAGTCCTAAGACGAAGATCGAATAAATATCAGCGCTGCTTTTTAATGAATATGGGAGTGAATTATTATCTCAGAGCCGAGTCTAGGTTATTTTCGTGACACAGAACAAGTTGGCCCATAAGATAATGTTTCCAGAATGTAAACCATATCAGTATTTAATATGCAGCGTGGTCGACTCCAAACGCAGCTTCATCAAGCTCGTAAGTAAGATCTAGTCCATTCTAATTCCGATGACCACATTCACACCGATTCATTCTTTGGCCTCCACATGCAATTACACTACAGTATAGATATCCGTAGGACGAGAAATACCATAGCACTAATCCATGGCGACGAAAGTTTTTGGGTTAGCGTAAGATAAATCAGGAAAACAAACACGATAACACTTGGGATGGATATAGTGACATTGTGGGTTGAAGTTTGACAATTGGGAAAGATTTTTTCAAACTCAGAAGTAAGTTCTCGGCACGAACCGTTCTACGGGAGTGCAGGTGATATTATAAACACTTTCATAATTTGATACTGCACTAGTACATCATCAAGATCAGTCACCCGGGTTTATTCTGGATACCTTGAACACACATCTCACTCGAGACACTAGATCGCTGGTTATAATCCATGAAAGCTTGACCATATTTATTCCGGTGTATATGCGTGTGATTTATTGTACTACTTGAGCCTTAGACCATCTCACGAATTGGGCTCTTCTCTGACACAGGCCACAACTTTTACAGTGCTTCAATCCTCTTAAGTTACTTGGAAGATCATTGATATATTTTACCCGTGAAATTCGGCCACCTTTCTACAGACTCTTCTACCCAAAAAAAGAAGGAAAAATAGCAATGCAAACTGCGTGCACGGAAAAAGGTCTCAAAAAACCTGCAGACCCAGCCAGGCGAGGCCTAGACACCGGAACCACATGAAGTGCGCATGTTCACCTATATTTACCTTCTCTGTAACAGTCGAGGCCGACTTGATTCAATCCACTATCGCTGCATCGGGTACTGGGTACGCTCCAGAAACTCACCGGATGGCTTTTCTTCCATGATGAAGGATTGGTAATCAGGAGGGCCTCGACCCTACCATCTGATCTGGTCGTGGTTAGCTTCATGATAACGGTGATAGGAGAATGTGTTGAGAGATGAAGACGATACAGACCGCGAAAGCGATTGAGAATCCTCGTCGAAGTGAGGACTTTGTTACTCAGTCTTAGCTCTGTGAACTGTAAACTATAAACTATATAGAGAGAACTAGAGGTTTGTAGCGGACACAACTGACAGTATTTAGAATAGTCGGCCTCTCTCACGGTGCATATGTGTTTGGATAATGAATTTATACTGGATAGCCAAAGGTTTTGCATGTCTCAACTGATAAGTACACACGCACGAAAGAAAATATTATTCTTTGTAATTATGTTATTGTCCTTTCTCGATCTATGACTATATAGAATATGCAGGTACTCTCTGCCTACAGACCAAGAATACTTATGCGGGTAATACATCTCCTATCCCCCAACATAGCTTCCCTCGAATATTTCCAATCCTCATAGGTCCTCATTCGATAACACACTTGGATGAGTCATTCGGGAATCTCGGATGATCTGCGTAAGAAAGGGTACTTCATAGTGATGTTTGCGTACGTTATCTGCCTCAAGGGGCGGAAATCGAGAGTCGTCCAACTTATCCATACAACAATGATCGTAAGCCATAGCTTAAAAGCTGCACACACTTAAAAACTTGATTAGGGATAGTCAAAACAGATTTGTTCGAAGATAATGTTTTTTGAGGCCATATCCCATTATTAAACACAAATAAAAAGTAGTCGCTCGCTATTTGTTTATATTACTGGTGAGAGGTTTTATGTATACGATAATGCAAAAATCTCTAGCATACGTGAATGTTAAGTTCTGGCAATTTGATTCCTCAGTGCAGGGAATGATGAGTCTTTGAATTCAACTCGGACTGGTACTAATAAGTAACTGAGAGCCACAGAGTTTCATCAAAACAGGAGGCTACTAGATAGAAATAAAGTGAGCGTAGTTAAACACTCTTACCATGATTACTGATCCCCTAACTCAATTTATGACTGAAATACATAAATAGCTGTCGTCCCTCAACGCCACATCTATAAAATTTCCTCTACATGTTGACAGACCTATATGTGTCGAGCAACTCTATTTTTTTGCGCTCTTCTTTATACCCTGTGCGCCGGTATTTAGAGGGCCTTTCGATTTCTTAGCGACTGCAGCCATGTCCGCTTTTGCTTTTGCATCTATGATATGTTAACATGTGTGAACAAGAGAATGTATAACTAACCGTCTTTCTGCTTCTGTAGAAACGCTTTATCTTCGTCGTCTAATTCTGCTTTGGCTGCCTTCTTTGGAGCTTTCAGTGGCTTGGCCTTGCCGCCTAAGACTAGTCAACATGCATTAGATTAAAGCGTCAAGTTCTTTTCTACCGGCCCTATCTACTCCTCCCATCTTGAGTATTGATTTTGTAATCGGTTAACCTTCAGTTATTTAATTTGATCTGTAATAGCTGTACATGAGAAGGTACAGATTTGGTGGGGTGGGGTTTTAGATGTTGCAAGTGTAGGCTAGTCCCAACTAGGCCAACACTTCCAAAACCCTGATGAGCGATTGGTTGCTCAACTCATCTATCAAACTAAACCAACATCACGATCCATGAATATGTACTGACACAAGAACTATATTCTGCAAAGATTTTCGGTTGGGCTCTTCTCATACCAAGTTATTCACTGTGCTTCATTTACTTACTGTTATCTTTGAATCAGACCGTGGGGGTCTGATGGCGGCGCACTACATGGCCTCTCCAGCAAGCTCAGACGAAGGCGAGATAAGAGACGAAGGTGCAGAGAAGGCAAACACATCGCTATTTCATCAACATGGCACATCAGTTGACCGTCAAGACAGAAATCACTCTAGTACCTCTCCATCATTATCGTCCGATCATGAATACGTCTACAGAAAAAATATACAGCGAGAACGGAGCAGATCTCCACGAAGTTTTCGCAAGTCGTTACCAGTAAAAAGAATTAGAGATGAGGAGTATGTTGATCGATCCCGCGGCGATCCACGTAAATTTAAGGTTCATTACGAAGATTCTTCACACGATTATCAACGACGCTCCAGACCAAAATATTCAGGCACTTCTGGCCAAAGCTGCCTCCCATACGATGATGGAGATGATACAAGTGCAACCAAAAGGGCCAGAACTCGAAGCAGGTCTCCGTACCGAGCATCTCGAGGCATAGATAGGCACACTTGTGGCGACCAACCAAGGAAAGGTGATAGATATACCGGCGGATACAATATGAAGTGTTATTCCTATGCTAATAGAGACATAAGAAATCGAGATTCTGACCAGTCAGCCAGAAAATGGGAACCAAACCTACTGCCTACTAGTGACATAAGGCATGATGGTAAACTTACACAAGGGTCATTATTTAACGAAAAGAAGGCTAGTTTGAGCGACGAAAAGTTAGTTAGCTAGATTGAGATATTACTCATCAATCTGACTGACATCTCATCAGGAGTGACGATGCATCATCTGCACCAGCTCCCTCTGGCGAAGAGGATCTTGATGAAGCAGCTTTGATCGAGATGCGTAGGAAACGGCGTGAGGCGATCAAAGCTAAGTACAAAGTTTATGCATCACCACCATTGGCTGAAGCATTGAATCTGGGGAACTCTGGAGACAATCCAGTCGAATCTAACACTATATATCAACCAACAGATCAGACGCCTCAAATGCAGAAAAGTAAGAAACATCCTTATATCTGTAATAAAACTAACCATGATTTCCAGTCTCAGCAGATACTATCGCTTCATCCGGCTCAACAGATCCAGGGGAACCTAAATCACCAGTAATTTTTGCCGTTGATAACGATCCAGAAGTAACAAGAGCAGGCCATGAATCAATGACCTACGATGATATAAACGGTCCTTCGGCTGCTGACTACGACCCTACAGTAGATATGAGAGAAGATCAAGAAAGAGATGATCAGCGGTATAATACAAATATCGGGTTACCAAAAGACATTGAATCGACAGAAAAAATACAAAAAATTTCTACGGAACCAACGTCTACACAAGACCCTAAAGTTTCTCATGATGACTTTGATATGTTCGCCGAGGATGATGATATGTTTGCTGAGCAACGCTCACCTAAGCATGAGACTAATACTGTCGTTATGCCAACCCAATCTGTCTCTCTCCCCGAAGCGAAAGAACTTGATGTAGGAATGCTTGATAACTGGGATGACAGTGAAGGTTATTATAGAATTATTTTAGGAGAGCTTCTCAATGGTAGATATCATGTCCAAGCAAATTTGGGTAGGGGTATGTTCTCTGGAGTTGTTCGAGCTATGGACGTTACAACAAAAAAACTTGTAGCCATAAAGCTCATTAGAAATAATGAAACCATGTAAGTCACTTTTGGGGCTCCTCGCCAACCATGCTAACATTTCCAGGCGTAAAGCCGGATTGAAGGAGATAGAGATCCTCAGAAAACTCAATGATGCCGATCCAGAAGATAAAAAGCATGTGATCAGGCTAGAGCGATATTTCGAGCACAAAGGTCACCTCTGCATGGTCTTTGAGAACTTAAGTGTTAACCTCCGGGAGGTATTAAAAAAGTTTGGGCGCGATATCGGAATAAATATTCGGGCTGTTCGAGCATATGCGCAGCAGATGTTTCTGGGGCTCAGCCTCATTCGAAAATGTAATATTCTACACGCTGACTTGAAGCCCGATAATATACTTGTTTGTTCACTTCACGAATTCATTCGATGAGACTAATTAAAAATAGGTCAGCGAAAACCGGAACTTGCTAAAGATCTGTGATTTGGGCTCGGCATCTGATGCGTCAGACAATGAGATTGCGCCCTATCTAGTCAGTCGATTTTACAGGGCGCCAGAAATTATTATTGGAATGCAATATGACTTCGCAATCGATATCTGGTCTGTGGGATGCACTTTATATGAATTATACACAGGGAAAATACTTTTTACCGGCCGCACTAATAACCAAATGCTCAGATCAATCATGGATTGTAGAGGAAAGTTTACAACCAAAATGCTTAAACGCGCTCGATTCGCTCATGTACATTTTGATGAAATGGCTAACTTCAAGAGTGTCGAGCAAGACAAACTAACTGGAAAGGTATAAGCTCCTTTTTTGCATCCTACATTTCATACTAGATGCTTAAACTATTCTAGAAATAGATTTATCAGAAATCTACTAATTACTTGGAACAGGATACTGTCCGAATCCTCTCCTTTTCAAAACCTTCCCGGGACCTTCGTACCCGCCTATCATCTGCATCCAAGGGTTTGACGGAAGCTGAAACCAAAGAGCTAGCTCTGTTCGCTGACTTATTAGATCGATGCCTCGTGCTTAACCCCGAAAAAAGAATTACACCGACTGAGGCTCTGAAACATCCATTTATCTTGAAAAATACCCGCTGATTTTAGCAGGGGTATTTCGTTGAAGTCGGTATACCAAGCATAGATGAATTTAAGGTAGATCGCTGAACGTAATCAACGTCTACATCATACAATCCACTATAGCTGAGATCAAGACAAGACTCTAATCTCATATCAGACCTTGAAGAGAACTCAAAATCCCAGTTCGAAGGTACCTTCATCTCTAGCTTTTTAATTAAGTACAGTAAGCAACGAGATTTTTGTTTGGGCCAATTAACATAGATATGTTGGTACATAAACTAGGATCTTAAATGGATATAGCCTTGATACTCCAGGTGTTTACACCTGAAAGCCAGAAATTCTTATAATTTGAGTGTCAGCGAAAGATAGACTCACATCTTGTCACAAACCACCCATGCTATTAGCAAAACTACGACATAAATATTAGGAGTCTTAAGTGCTTAAGTCAAATTTCTACATTCTCTGGATGTTTCTAAAGTTTAACTAGAACCTTAAATTAATTTTAAGATAAGCGAGCAAATAATTTTATTGTAGGAACAAATCTAGATAGTAGAAACAATACAGCAAGCAAAGCGAGATTTACAACTGCAGGGCTTCAAATAATATTCACAACATTGAAAAATGAATTTACCTTTTGCTGAAAACATATATATACTGCAATCTTTCGCCGGACTTCATCATTATTACCTATTGTCAAACTGACCGATTACCGTAAATTTTTCCTGCAACAAAGGATTGAGTGGTATGTTCGTGAAGCTCTCTCATCAGCAATGTGCCAAGGCAAGAGATGTATGCCAAGCTTTTAAGGTCCTGACATAAACATGCAACGCGTGAACAAAACTACGATCTGTGCATTGGCAAAGCGTTAAATTTGATTAAGGTTTTGATCAGGCTTATGCTTATTCAAGTCTGGATCTAGTCCAAATATGAAAGTATAATCAACTTGTATAGGTATCAGCCTGGTAGTAACACCTTTATATCTATAGTATTTCATTAAGGTAGGCAGCTATCTAGCCATGAGACGATATCAGAGACAAAACACATTATGAGTGGCTCAAATTTAAAATAGAGCACTTATCAGATTATATTCGCAAGTTGTACAACCGAACAATGGCTGGTATTTCTTCGACCTAAGTTATCCCTCATCCGTGAATACTCACCCAGTTAAATTAATTGCCGGATATACAGGCAGCAACGAGCTCTAAAGGTAAATATATCTGTATCACGTCGATAAAGATGTTAGGTCCATCCTGTGACTTTTCAGATGTCAAACTTAAACCAAACCTCGCCTGGGTGTACTTGATCTAATTTAATGCAATATATAGATTAATTAACTTATTATTTACAGACATCTCTCAGCTACTGTACATCCGGAAATGACCATTGTTTCGTTGGCTGAAGGGGGAGATAAAGAAGGGCAAAATGCTTCCCTAGTCGAATGAACGGATGAGGGGAGGGCAAGACTGAACACCTGTACGCGGTGTCCTCTACGAACCTGGGAGTGAAATATTCTCCCAGAGCCAAGTTCAGTCAAATTTCGCAATATCAAAGAAGTTGGCCCACGAGGCAAAATTCCAAATTACTCATCCACGTCGTTATTTCGCTCCCAACGAGTTTGACTCCTATCTTCGTCTCATCGAGTCTACAAGTACGACCAAGTACATCCTCATTCCAATGACCACACCACTCTTCGACCTTCTCTGGCCTCAGCTGGTCACCAAATACACGCCCACGCCGATATTTATACCCGCCGGAGGATGCAAGGCGTGGCGCACAAATCTGGGAGACAGTTCTTTGGGATGGATGTGAGAGGGATCTGGACAAGTTGACAAGATGATGCGAAGGACGGATATAACCTCGAAGGGCATGAGACTCCGAATTTTGGCAAGGAGTTTTTCGAATTGGGCTTTGTGCGCGCCAAGACTTCGCTTGCGAGAGTGCAGCTGACACTATAAACACAAGCAAACGATGGAAGGTGTAGTGATCCGCCTCCTGGTGGTGTTCTCCGGTATAGTTTGAGTAGCCTGGGCACCTACTCCACTTGGGAAGGAGACACCTCAGATCACATATCGCGCGGAGAAAGTTTGAAAGATGATGGAGGCATGTCTGGATAACCCAGGGTTTTTGAGATGTTCCCCTGGGTGGGTATTCACGGATGAGGGTTGACTTGGGGTGAAGAAAAAGCCACCATAACTTCGCAGTGGTACTTGCAAATGAAATCTGAGGCATGAGTGCTCTTCCTTAACGATGAATCATCTATTCTGTAATTTTCTTTGATATTGTGTCATAGCTAGATAGCTGCATACGCAATTAAAATCTGATGCAAAAAAAAAAAAAAAAAGAACGGATGAGGACTTCTGAGGGGTGGTACTGTTTGAAGGGAGCTGTGAGGAAGGCATATGAGGAGATATACTATCAGCATAAGTGTCCTTGGCCTATAGGCAGAGAGGACCTGCATGTTGTCGCCGGATCAATTGGTGTTGGTATACAGCAGAGCAAGTCCAGAATAAATCAGTTAATTAATGAAATGTAGAGAAGGAAGGTATCTTACTTCTCGCTGTATACACAGGGAATTGTAATTGTCAGCACCGATCATAACGATCTATGTTGCTAAGCAACCATATCCAGACCGCAACATTGGTAGCCCCTATAGCTGGCTGGGCCCTATATTCCATCCCTAACGTACTGGCGCAGACAGCACAAACACAAGGGATTAATCCCGTAACACATGTCGTACATACCTTTTCTTGATATTACATAATATCTATTCAGCTATTTAGCTATCACATATGTCAGGTATTGTGTATACATCTTGGATGTCACTTTTGAAGTTATAGACACTCGTACTCTGTATTTCATTTGCTAATACTACTGAAGTATATTTTCTCTCACAAACAGTCGATCCTCCTCCATAAGTAATCACCAAAGGGAAATTCAAAACTTCATACAAGTCGACACTTTAGTCATCCGCTACATTATCTTATAAACTTGTCCAGATTTCTCTCTTGTTCATCCTAAAGAGGAGTTTTTTTTTGCATGAGATTTTAATTGCGTATGCAGCTATATTTCTATGATACGATATTAGACAAAATTTACATAACGAATGACTCAATTATAACTAAAGGAGGACGAAGGCTGAACACCTGTCAGTGGTGTCCTCTACGAACCCATGAGTGAAATATTCTCCCAGAGCCAAGATTTGGTCACGACAAAGGGTGAGTTTGAGAGTTTTATTCGAGTTGACGATCGGGAGGAGTGGTGTTGGCTCATTTTTGGTCTAAAATCCGACTTGCAGAGATTTCACGACTGCACATATCAACGAAATCAACCATCTACACCCCAGATTCGAACCACAGACAGCCTATAACCTGTCTGATGTTCGTATTACAAAAACCGACACCTTCAACATCTTATTTTCTATTTCTCTGGAAAATCACTCCTAGCCAAACTCATCTCGCGGCCCTCTCAACAATCATCTCACCACCTACCTAAGCAATCCCATACCTCCAAAAGCCAAATCGCCATCAAAGAAGCAAGAGGATTTCCGACCCTCCGCAACTGCCAGCCGCTGTGAAGGTACTGTCGAAATACCGGCCTTAGATGCGTCCTCACCTCGACGAAGGGCACCAGCAACTCGACCTACGACGAATCGCCACCGAGGAAATACGTACGACATTTCACCGGCACACTAACTAGAGCGTTCGACAAAGGCTGGGGCACCGGTGCCTCGATCTTGAGCTCTCAGTCACTTTTTCAACCTTAACGGTTAGGGGTACGGCAGCGATGGGGCAAGGCCGGAGGGGTGGACATTCTATAAAGTTCCTGGGACGACGAGATCGGCTGAAGGATAGATGGATGCTACATGAAGGAACAAAAGGGAATACAAACTGAGGAGGCCTTGGTGGGCAACTTGATGTGGCCTCCGACGAAGAAAACGACGCTTGGATGAGATGAGGTGATGCTGAGGTGAGCCAAAGCTGGGAATAAATCGAAAGGAAATGTTACAGATGGCGACAGTGTCAAGGGCCCGGGCGCGTGATGGCCGAGGCTGATGAGGAATTTGCGCTTCGGCGCGCCAAAAGGGGTTTATTATTATTATTAATTCATTTTATTGTCCCGTCTGAGTCTATGACTGTGTAGGACAAGGAGGTCCTTTCTGCCTATAGGCCAAGGATACCTATACTAGTAGTATATCCCATCATATGCCTCCCATACAGCTCCCCTTAGACAGTACCACCCCTCACAAGTCCTCATTCGATCATACACTAAGAAGAGCTCTTTGCCCTTCATTATCTCCCCTATCCAGCCAACGAAACGATGGTCATTTGCGGGTGTATGGCAACCGGGAAAAATCGCAAAAACCACTGGGTGCGGAGCTCTCCTAATACCGATATTAGGACTAAATACAAAGACATAGTGCCCCTTCTAATGCGTTCGAAGAGGCCGGCCAGCTGGGCGCTGCAGACTTGTGGGTACCTCGGAGAATTCACACTCTGCCTTTCTAGCCTCCTTCCCGAAGGTCGTGCTGAAATGTCAGAAAAGTCTTGACAGAGCATGATTGCTGTATGGCAGCTTAGCCCGACTTCTTTTGTACCGTCCAGGGCGCTGGGGGGTGCCGTTGACTCATGGACAATGAAGTCTTCCTGGCCAACTAGTCGAAATCTCGGTCTTGGCGCCCACAAACGTTACAAAGTTGAAAACGGCTCGAAAATATCAGACGTATTATTCCCACAGGAAGTCTCTTCCTAATATCTTTCAACGCCTCAGTCGCTTATTCTAATTTGAGTTGTTTGTTCCAATAGAGAAACAGTCCCCCATATTCCAGGACCCAGGCTTTGTATTATTCGTCTTGATTTCCTCCTTGCAGGTACACGTAGCGATATAAATTTGTAATTGGTAATTTCTGGTAATTAATGGGATGAGCACCCGTCTACAATTGGAGCAACTTCTTTATTGGTCGTTCAGACGAGATGATGCATGGTTAGTAAACAGTTGAGAAATCAGATAAGAATGGTGAGAGA